TTGTTGTTGTTATGTGCCATTGAGTTGCCTAGGAGTCATAGCGACCCTATATACAACAGCTCTGAAGCCTGCCCTGTCCTGAGCTAGTCTCACTCACTCCAACATACCTACCCCCATTGCCCCAGTTACTGTGTCAATCCACCTCATCTGGGATCTTCCTCTTCTGCACTGTCTTTCCATCCTTCCAAGCATGATGTCCTTCTCCAAAGATTGGTCTCTCCTGTCCATGTGCCCAAATTATGTGAGACAGAGCTTCAAAATCCTAGCCTCCATGGAGAAACTTGATTTCACTCTCTCCAAGATAGGCTTACTTGTTTTCTTGGTGGTCCATGGTATACTCAAGACTCTTCTCCAGCACCACAAACAATTGAAAGGCATTGATTCCTCTTCTGGTGTCCTTAGTCATTGTCCAGCTCTCTGATATATATAGATATATCGATTAAGAGATAGAAGGATGGAGATAAAAATCTCACAATAAATCACCTAAATTTAGTATATAAATGAATCCTTAAAGTAATATAATTTTAATGTTAAGACTATGGGTTTCAGTGTGAAACTTACCTGAGTTTGAGCCCAAGCTCTCTCATTTCTAGCTGTATGAATTGGGCAAATTAGGCTTTGTAGATTTCCTCATCTTTTTATTGGAAATCGTAATAGAACTACTTCTGGTTATGAGTTTTACATGAGATAACGCACCTAAAGTATTTACACAGTGTCTGGCACATAGTAAGTTCTCAGTACATGTGGACTTTTACAAAAATGGTGTGGCCAACTTGGATAATACCTGCTAGAAGGCTCAACCAGTCCCAAAGTTACTTCCCCCTTTTTTATTTTTCTCATTGTTGTTGTGTACTGTCAAGTCAGAACTGACCCATAGCTGACTCAAGGGGACATCTCGAATTTTCCTTTGTCTCTTGAAGGATTTTATTCATCATTCAAAACTAAGGGAACTATATGCTTTTGAAAGGTGTATCACTTCATGGAGAGAATAGGTTAAAAGCTCAAAGAGATCTTAGAAACCATTGATAGTTTCACCTTTAGTAGATGATGAATAAAGCACAGAGGGGAAGGGAGAGACAAAGCCTTACCTCTGATGTTGAGTATATATGTATAATAAAACCAGTAAAACATTACTAATATGGTCATGATAGACATGCTACTTCAAGGCTCTCCGTCTCAGTTTATTAATATGTAAATCAGAGGTGATACGGCCTGTGGCTATATTGATTAAGTTAAAATGATTTCATGTTGGTTTGACTTTTATTTTATGACTTAAAGCTTTTAGTAGATTGTTGAAGAGGGTTCTGGTAGCCTAGTGGGTAAGGAGTTGCACTGCCAACTCAAAGGCAGGCAGTT